CTCCTCAGGATAAGTATGGTACATGCGGGGCTGGGGGGCCCCGCTTCTGGAATAGATCTTCGCACGAGCCTTCTTGGCAGTCCGTGCGATTGCGGAGGTGGCACGGTAAGCAGTATACCACCTAGCGCCAAAAAAGGACCAGGGACCGATTGTGGGGATAAAACAGCATTCTCAGTTGTGTACCCCTCCACTGCAGGAGGATTTAGTCAACCATCCTATCAGTGCATACTTAAGCCTAAGGTGAGTCCCTCAGGGCCTGGTGATCTCGCCACATGTCCCTGCACTAAGTTTGAGGAATCCATGCATGTTACATGCTATACAGAGACAAAACAATGCAAACTTAAGAGTACAACCTATTGGATGGCAACGCTAACTACAACTAAAAGCCCTGTTGCCCCTAACCATATTCCCGCTGCTGTAGGCGGTTCTCCATTCATGCAGTCAGGTTGTAATGGAGAGGTTGGAGAAACGGTCTGTTGGTCTATGACCACTCCCGTTCACATCTCTGACGGTGGAGGGGTCCAAGACCAGTACCGGCAGGAACAGGTCATCGAGCGATGGGAACAATTAAATCCGTTCCCTGAAGTCAATTACCATCCACTCCTACACCCAAAATCCCGAGGCATTAACCTTGACCCCGCTACTGAATCCATATTAGAGGCTACCCACAAAGCACTCAATCTTACTGACCCAGGGCTGGCCTCCGATTGTTGGCTGTGTATGATGATGGGAGAATCATGGCCGCTGGCCATGCCGTTTAGAGACTATGAAAGTGAACCTTACAATTATAGCACACCCTATAATTGCTCACATGGGCCTCCATTTCGGGTCCAGTTTATGGGACAGTTTAATGCATCCTGTTTCCAAAAGTACCCACAAAATAATAGTTACGATATTGTTGTTGGAGCGCTGGCAGTCGCCTTGTGTGAGTCCATAACCAATGTAAGTAGTAGCTCGCCGCTATGTGCCCCCTTTGGCAAAGTATTTGCTTGCGGCAATGGTCATGCTTATACCTACCTGCCCAGTAATTGGACCGGCCTATGTGGCCTAGCTTACTTGTTGCCTGACATTGGTATTGTCCCTGGGGACCAACCCATGCCCATCCCAGCTGTGGACACCTTTATAAAAAGACATAAGAGAGATGTACTGATTTTACCTCTCTTGGCTGGTCTGGGGATAACTGGAGCCCTGGCCGCCGGGACTGCGGGCCTAGGAGTTTCATTAACCAAATATACTCAGTTATCCAAGCAATTGATAGAAGACATGTCTATAGTTGAGAGAACCCTTCAGGAGATACAAGATCAAATTGATTCCCTTGCAGAGGTTGTTCTGCAGAATAGAAGGGGCCTAGATCTACTCACTGTAGAGAGGGGAGGTATCTGTATTGCCTTACAGGAAAGATGCTGCTTTTATGCCAACAAGTCCGGAATCGTTCGAGACCGATTAAAGAAACTGCAAGAAGACCTAGAAAAGAGAAGAAAAGAACTACAAGACAATCCCTTTTGGGGAGCCTGGAATGGCTTGCTCCCCTATATTTTACCATTGTTAGGTCCCCTGTGCTCCTTGCTTCTGCTCTTACTTGTAGGACCATGCTTGCTCCGATGGGTCACATCGTTCATTAATGGACGCCTTGCGGCGGCACATCGTCAGGTCCGCATGGTTGCCCATGCGGCCCTGGCAGCAGCCCGTGATGGGCACAATGACCCCCAGGCTTACGCATGGCTCGCTCGACTGGCCTACGACCGGGTCTAGGTGTGGCGGGTCTTCCGCACTCCTTCCCTATTGACACCACACAGCAGGGTAGGTGAGTCAATGACGGGTAAGAGCGTGCCTCCCCAGCACGACTCGACCTAAGCCAGGCCCTACCCCATACTGCACGAAAGCCGCTGGATTACTAGAATCTGCCCAGATCTAGATGCCTCTCCGAGGGGATCACACGGAGGGGCATGAGTGCATGCCTATGTGCATCCAGGTTCCGTCCAGTTCACTCCTGGCCCTGGAAAAAGGACGAGGGTCTCAAGGCCTTGGTGGACCTGGGGGCGGCCGACCAGGGTCCAAGCCAAGGGCCTACGGTGGGCCTCAACACAGGGCATAAGCCTCTGCACTCGATCCAGGGCGGGCTGCGATGCATACATTCATTCAAAGTAAATAAAATAGGGGGAGATGTTGGGAGCCTCGGCCGACACCAGTCGCTTTACTTGGCGGACGTGAGGCCTGTAGAAAAGAGCAAAGCCTGAGCTAAGTTACCCCTCCCATCGAGTGAGCCAAGTTGGCGCCTGCTTCCTGCCCCCTGATTGCCCTGGCGACTTAAACAACCCGCTCTGTAAGATAGTCTGCCTAGCAACAACTGATGTTAGCCAGTCAGCCCGCATCGCACGCTTTGAACTGATTGGCCACTGTTACCCTATAAAAGTGAATGCCTCTCCCGCCACGAGAGAGAAGCACAGAGAGAGATAGAGAAAGTCCACTGGCAAGAAAGGGCTGGTGGCAGAGCAGAGGCCTCGCGGGGCCCACGTGGAGACAAATAAAGGCAAGATTGCACACCGTCAGAATCTGTCGTGTGTTCTTCCTGCAGGCCGGAAGCGACACTGACAGTGTTGCGGGGGTCACCGTTGCACAGCACCCTGAAATGTGGGCTGGACACTGTGGCTGGCCTCTCCCACACTCAAGGAGCCCAGTGCCCTCTGCTGCCCAGCACAGCCTCTCCCCAGGGTGGCCCAGAGGCCCTGGCTCCCCGAATGGGCAGGGAAGGCAGGTGCCACCTCTGTGGAGCTGAGCTCAGGGCAGTGCCAACCCCATGAAGGAAATAAGGAGACCCAGGTGCTGGGGCCTGGGGCGCCCAGAGCCTGTGACCTCATTCAACTCGCAGGGGCAGCAGCTCCCGGGCCAGCAGACACTTTTTAAGGTTGATTATAGACTCTGAGCTACCAGAACGTTTGTTTTCATGAGAAGTTGGAAGACCAGATATTTGTCTTTTCTTTTCTTCTCCCTTTCCTCTATTTATTTATCTCTTGTTGATGTTTATGTTTTTACCACACAGTCATGCTGTGTTGCCCAGGGTGTTGGGATCACAGACACGCACCCTGTACTGCTCTGGAATCAGAGAGCGGGCTGTGTAGCTCAGCAGCACAGCACATGCCTAGCATCCCAGAGGCCTTGGCTCCCTCCCCAGGGAAGGGGCAAAGATAAATATAAAAGAACCTGGATTTATTTGAGTTTAAAAAGTAACCGACAGCTCAAAGGCTTTTTCCAGCACCTCCGCTCTTCTGACCGCTGTCTCCTGGTGGCCACCCTGGCCACCCTCCTCTGCCCTCCTGTCCCAGCCCGAGCCTCCTGTGAGCCTCCTGGAATCATCTTTTCCCTTCTCCCCTGGGCCCTTTGGAGCCCACATATATGCGTTTCCGGTCTCTGGCACACAGAGCTTCCTCCCTGCCCTGGGGAGATTTATTTTGCTCCAAGCCCTCTAACTGTGCCTCATTTCCCTGTCCAGCTCAGCGGCCCAGGTCCCTCTGACCCTGCCACCGTTTCTTCTGGCAGCTTCTGCAGGCTGCTGCTCCCCGAGTCTGCATCTCTCTTCCTTTTGCTTCTGTCATCACTGTTATGGGTGACGTTCACTCCTGGCCCTCAGCCCCATCTCCCACATGGACAGCAGGTCCCCACTTTACCCACGGGTTTCCCTCAGTGTCCTCCTGCAAGGGCACTGTGCACGCCTCACCGCAGCCCCGGAAGGAGCCGGCCCGGCCCACCTGCAAAGCAGAGCTGTTGCCATGGGCAACGGATTCGCTGCCTCCTGTCTGCCCTGCACACGTTAAGGAGCAAAGACAGCCACAGGGGTGCATGCCTCACACATGCTTTCGGGGCCCTCCCCTACTCATGACCCCGTTCCTGGCCTGGCCCTAACTCTGACCCTGACCCCGGCTCTCTATAAATGTTTAAGTGCTACAAAAGGAAAGAAGAAGAAGCAGTCAAATCCTTAGAGGCAGCCATGTGAGGCAGTACAGAGGCCCTGGGCTCCGGCTCCGACCTCCACGCCCAGGCCTCTGGCTGCCCGAATCTGAGCACCGTGCCTACAGCACCCCAGGGACGTCTTGCTCAGGACAAGGCCAGGTCAGCCACCACCACAAGGGAGGAGAGAGCCCCTGACGCCCCTCCAGCTCTCTGGGCCGGGTGGTGGCACTGGCAGCAGCCCGCAGGGTGCAGGGGAGCGGACATGGCCTCCCTGGCTGGGGTCTGGAGCCTGGGCCTGAGGCTGGCACTGCCGCCTCTGTTCCCAGCTCCCTGCCCCCAGCCCTCTGGGCCACTCTAGCTCCTGGCTACAGAAGCTGACAGCCAGCGTGGGGCTGTCAGGGACACAAACTTGAGGAGCCGAGGACCGTCAGGTCTCCTATCTTGCAGCAGCTCCTCAGTGTCGAGCGAGCGGATGCTGCCCCTGTAAGTGAGACAAGAGGAGGAGGAGGGCTGCTGTCCTGCCCCCTGTTCTTTCCTTGCTTTTGTAAGGCTTTTGCAAACTGAGCTCTTGGCCAGAACATGCTGTTTCTTCCAGCTACCAAAATAGTCAAGGCCCCATCAGAGGAGGACAGCATTCCCATCACCCTGTCTTCCGCCTCTGGCCCTGGGAAGGCCAGGAAGCCTGGCTGCCTCTGCCTGCAGCCTCCACCAGGGAGGGAGATAGAGGGGCAAGCCGGGGTGCGCAGAACAGCACCCTTGGGCCCTGAACACTCCGCCCACCCCGCAGTGCTCGGCAGGAGGCCGTAGGGGCATTGTGGGTGCAGTGTGGCCGACTCCTCCAAGGCCAGGGCACCACAGGGAATGTGGATGTGTCGGCCTCACCCAGCGGCAGCTCGGATTCCTGTGTTAGGACGACCGTCTGCTGATCCCTCACCTCGGAAGCGCTGAGGGCAGGAGAGAGGCCCTCAAGGACCCTGCAGCCCAAAGCCTTCCTCCAACTCCCTGGTACTTAAAAAAAATAAGAAATAAAGCTTTTCTGAAAGTTTACTCACAGATCTCTCTTAGGTTCTTCTTTGTGCACAAAAACAAATCATGTTTCCCAAGATTCTGCAAGTCTGAATATAAGGCAGGAAAAGGGGAAGCAGAAATGATACGAGGGTCACACCAGCCTGACTCAGCCCGCTCGTTCCCTCCAGGGTGGCCAGTCACTCAGGGCCAGCCCAGGGGAGGCATCACGGGAGGTCTCCCCTGGTTCCCTGCCCAGCTCTGAGCACCAGCCCTACCCACCTCAGCTGGTGGCACAGTCCTGCCGGAGTCGTGAAACCTCGGAGCCACTGCCCAGGACGTCCAGTCTAGAACTGAGCTTCCGGTTTGCTGTGTGTCCAGGGAATTCAGAACACCTCGAGACATTTCTGCAAGATGATTCCTTATCCCAAAGGCGCCTGCAGGAGCCTTTGTCTACAGTTCCCTGGATCCTGCCAAAATGCAGCATCTCAGGATGATGCCCTGTATATGACCTACTACCTGTTCAAAGGACAAATTGCTTAACCCCAATAAGCATAACAAAGTACTAGTCATATGTTACTCTATAATTACAGCCATATAGTTGTGTTAGTTATGGCGACTCAGGTATAGATTTGCCAGTATAAACTGGAAAACTAAATAATGAAGCAGGTGGCCTGAATGATCCCAGCCAAGTCACCTCTTGTTTTGTTTTGTTTTAAGACAAGGACTCACTGTGTAGCCCAGACTGATCTTGAACTCAGCAATCTCCTGCCTCAGCCTCCTGAGTATTGGGATGACAGGCACGAGCCACCAACTGAGCTAAAATCGACAAGGACTGCAGAAGGACAGGAAGGCTGGGTGTGGCCCCTCCAGGGTACTGTCCCGAGAGGCCCTGGGGTGCAGGGACACGCGCTCGCCCTTCCACCCCCTCTCTGAGCCTTCGTGGCTGCCACCTCTGTAGCCTGGCCTCTGTGTCACTTCCAAGGTTCTGCATTTTCAGGGATCAGCGGTCACTATGCAGCTTGCAGGTCAGAAAAGGGGAAGAGGCTGCAAGGACCGAGGCCCACCTCTCCCGACCCCTGTGCTCCTGCCCGGGAAAGGAGGGCTGGGCAGTGAGGGGCACTTACCTGCTTTCCACACCGCCTCTGTGTGCCCTCACCGTGCACAGCTGCTCACCTGGAACCCAGAGTGGGCAGAAGCTGGAGATGCTCTCACTAATGTCTGGGTGGCTCTGTCCTGCTCCATGGACACTGCCAGCTCCTGTCTGAGTCCACACAGTCTCAGAGACAAGCTGCTGACCCCTGCAGGAGAGCTCACAGCCCCGAGACCCACAGCCCTGAGGAACGGCAGCTTGACTTTGGATGCAGAATGGGCTGGGGTGGGTCCCCTGGGCCTCCCTGCCTGGCCACTGCACTCCCACCTGGCCGAGCATCATCTGTCCCTTCCCTTCTACAGGGGGCCCAGCATGGCGGAGGGAAGTAGGGCCCAGAGGTCCGGCCATGCTGTGGCCTCTAGGATGGCTCTCACTGTCACCTTCTCTGTCCCAGCCCTCGACTGGGGTTGGCAGAGGTCAGGCAGGGCTGCTGGTACTAAGCCTGCTCAGTGGCACATTCTGCCGTCCCATCCCCTGTCTTCCAGGCCCCTGAGAAGGTCTTGGGCAAAGGGGCTCCTCCCAGCTGACCTGGATGGACCCAGGGAGGGATCTGTGCTGCATCCTGGGGTCTCCCCAAGAAACTGGGAGACCCAAGGGCCACTGACCTCCTTGCCAACAGAGGGACAGAGTGTGGGTGGATACATGGGGAACACGAGCTGGGGTCCGCTGAGGGTGAGCTGCAGAGAAGTGAGCGCCCGTTCCCAGGCCCCCTCCTGGCCACATCCCCTCCCAAATTCCACCTCATGGCCCCAGCATCCTCACTTCTGCTGTGACACACCCCATCTTCTGGGCCTCACATCTGTCCCTGCCCGGCAGCCGGGCCTCAAGGGAAGGAAGCCTTGGGTGAGCCTGTGTGACACAGGCTTTGCATCCAGTGGCTCCCCACTGTCTTCCAGGAGTCCAGGGAGGGTGTCACGGTGTAGGTCAGGCCCCAGGCCATGGACAGTGGGCTCCAGGCCACCAGGAACAGCATCCTTGACACAGCCCCAGATCACAGGAAGCTGGGACCCCCAATGCCCAGACTCCGCTGTGTTTCTGCGCTCTGGGGCAGCACTGGCCACGTGTCACAAACAAGATCCATGGCAGGGGCAGTGCCAGCCACAGGTGAGCCGCATAGACCCCACAGAACACACGTACCTCGGCTTAGCCATGAGCTGTGGGCTCCCCTGCCAGGCTCGGGGGACGTGGCCCCCGCCTCCTGCACGTGGCGCTGGCCCAGGGGTCTGAGCAGCATGGAGTGAAGGGCACTCGAGCCGGGTGCCCAGCAGCTTCAAGGCAATCTCGCCTTGAGCTCGTTTCACGGTCGGTGAGACTCAGCAGCAGATGGTCACCCACCTGGCCCGGACCCCTGGCTGGAAGGGGGCAGATCCTAGAGGACATCTAAGCCCCTCTGTTTGGCCCAGCAGCAGAACCACCGCGGGGCCCTTGCAGCTGGGTTAGCATGACTGTCGAGGAGTGGGCACAGAGTGCCAGGGGAGCCAGGCACTCACCGGTCCAGCGCCATCCCTGACGGGACCTGGCACCCTGGGGACGCTACAGTTAGGAAGATGAGCCAGGCCGGACCCTGCTTCAGGAGTAGGCTCTGGGGCGGCCTTCTCCATCTCAGTGGGCGCCTTTCAGAGGGGGAAAACCGCCCAGCAGGGTGGAGCTGCTGCCTTCCCGGGCTGCCTCTGGGACTGCGCTCCCTGCCCCCGATTCTGAGGCACGGGGGACAGGCTGGAGTAACGCAGACAGATTTCCACATGAAGGATCAGGGCACCAGCACCGTCCTCACCTGGCCGCCCACCAGTCAGCACCCGGGACCCCGGCCTCCATGCTCAGGGGTGTACAAGGGCGGAGCGGAACTGTGACGGCACCAGCCTCTGTCTCCTGGTGCTGGCTGTGGATGTTCTTTCCGCTCTGCTGGTCAGTGGCAGACATCAGTGTTGGGAAAAGGATTCATCAGCCCCTGCTGCCAGCAGGAGACAGAGCAGCATGGGCATCCTCGGGAGACAGGGCTGCTCTCTCTTCCAGTGCAAAGGCTGCCTAGATTCGGATGCACCCATGCGGTCCATTTAGGGTTAGATAGATGCATTCAAACACATCTGTCCAAGGCTGAGCCGTGCCAGGGACATCTGGTCTACCTGTGGCTCCCCGGTGCTTCTGATCCTGTCCTGGCCTGACCACATGCTTTGCTGCTATGAAGGGGTCAGGGCTGGGAAAGTCCAGGCCATGGGTCAGAGACAGGCTGGTGCACTGGCCGAGGTCCTGGTTGCCTTCCACCCTCAGCCGCCTGCCCCTGACCTCCAAGGAACCTGGCGGAACCCAGCAGAGAACAGAACCCAGCCACCTATGCATCTCGATGGAAGCACAGAGGACTCACAGCCCCGCTCCTCCGCAGGCTCTGGGGTAACTAACATCACCCCCACAGTAAGGCAGGGGCTACGGCCACGCCTTAGCTCGCCCACTGGACGCCTCAGGCCAGCCCTGGAGTCTGCGTTCCCAGGGCCATTTTATAAACGGAAGAAGCAGTGGCTTGGGCCCCACGTAGACGGCAAGCCTCTGACCGGAAGTGTACACATTGCTGCAGCTTGAGCCCCGAGCAGTCCCAGGCGCAGCCTCAGGGTGGAGAGCAGGGTGGGAGCAGGAAGCCCCGCAGTGCCCACTTCCTGGCTCTCTCCCAGAGTAGATGCTGCTGTCCAAGCCCCCGTTCTGGATGACTCGTGTGGATTCAGTGGACTCACAAGGTCTCAGCAAGGAGCAGCGGTTCCAGGGCAGGTCCTTCCCACTGTCTGGCCGGGAGTGGACCCTCCATGCACAGGAGCCAGTGACCCCCAGTTGTGATTACGTCCAAAATGTGGATCCTATGGAATGAATGCCCCTGACTCAGGCTGGGTCAGCAGCAGACTCCACAGGGCCAGGAAGGCCAGCATGTCCAAGGTCACTATGGGCCTGGTGACAGACACCAGGCCCTGGGGTCTAAGAGACAGGGCTGAGCCTGACACAGTGTGCCCCGGGCCACCTTTTCCTGCTGGGGACAGCCCTCTGACCTGTGTGAGGCTGCACTGGGAGGGAGCCGAGCTCAGAGCCAGGTGTAAGGCAGGGATGAGCACGTGGGGCCACTGTCACTGCTGGGACCTGTGCATCGGGGACAGCGAGGCAGGGCAAGGGCAAAGGGCTCTCCTGACCAACAGTGGCAAGGTTTCTTTGGAAATTTGATACTGCACCTGCTTTTTGAACCTCAGCAACAATGCTACAGGCCCCCAGTTCAGCCACTGTCACTGTCCGGCTTGGCCAGGGAGGGTGGACATGGGTCACTCTGGCCCTGGGCTTGCACTGCATAGATGCAATGTGCAGCTCAGGGAGGCAGGGTGGCCGAGGCCATCGTGGAAGAGGAGCATAGGTCACTGGGTGTTTCTGCGTGGCTTTTTCCACAGGAGAACCTGCCTAAGGTCAGGAAAACATCTCCACCATAGCGGGGACCCAGTGCTTGCCCTACAACAACCACAGGAGCAGCTTCTGTCTAGAGCCCTGGAAAGTGATTTCTCCAGGCATTTACAGATGGCTCTGCATGCCACTCTGCACCCCAGGGCATCCGAGGACCACGAGCACCCCACTCCTGGCCTGCGGAACACACAGGGTCTGTTTGAGGGGCACAAAGTTTCACTCTGGTGTCACTTGATGAGACACCCGCAGGGACCACAGGCCTGTCTTCACCCGCTGTTAAAGCAGACACCAGGCTGCTGGTGGGGCTGAGACGGAAAGGCCTTTCCTCCTCCCTCCTCCTGCCCAAGGCTTTGGAGTTGGCCAGACCACATGCAAACTGGACCAAGGAAGAAACGCAGGTGCAAAGAATGAACTGGCGGCTTCCCCTGCCCCTCAGCAGGACCTGCGGGACGTGCCCACTGTGCATCTGGGTCTCCTCTGCCTCCCCGGAAATACGCGCCCCTTTGTACAGAGAACGAAGGGACGCT